AAAAAATGAGAAAGAGCCACATCTATCAATTACCCCAAAATATGCTGGATACTGTAAGAATGTCTATACATTTGTTTATCTACCTATGTACCTATTCCTCATTTCAGCAGGGTGCTGGGCCCTCGAAGAGTTTCCCATCTAGCAAAAGTTTTCAAACATTTTTTTTTCTTTTTAAATACAACAACGGGGGTGCCTGGGTGACTCAGTGGGTTAAGCCTCTGCCTTTGGCTCAGGCCGTGATCTCAGCGTCCTGGGATCAAGCCCCACATCAGGCTCCCTGCTCGGCGGGGAGCCTGCTTCCTTCTCTCTCTCTCTGCCTGCCTCTCTGCCTACTTGTGATCTCTCTCTGTGTCAAATAAATAAATAAAATCTTTGAAAAAATGCAACAACAGGACAAAATATTGCAGGACCCCATGCATATGAGGCACCCAGAGTAGTCAAATATATAGAGACAGAAAGTAATGAGTTGCCTGGGTGGCTCAGTCACTTAAGCGGCTGACTTCGGCTCACGTCATGATCCAAAAAAACCAATGCAAGACTGTATTTTAAAAAAAAAAAAAAACCTCACATGCTAATAAACAACTATGCTGAAAGTCATTTCTGGACATAAGGAGTTCACAAGAAGGAACACTCAAGGAAGGGTAGAGAAGCTCCAAAAAGTGTTACCAAAGAGTAAGATAAGAGGTTTAGATGAAAGGGTGTAATTTGGAAAAGCAATGAGAGGAGAACTATTGGAGCAGAGGCACAGAGACAGGGATGAGTGGGAACAGTGAGCACAGGAGCCCCACAGAAAGAGGTATGTGTGTTTGGCACAGCAGTGAGAACCAACGCTGTTTGCATGGAGTGTGCCTGGCCCCGGAGGGATTTGAAGAGCAGGCAGACTTTTAAATTGTGAGAGAGAGAGCACAAGCTGTAGGGAGAGGCAGAGGGAGAGTGAAAATCAGGATGCAGGACTCTATCCCAAGGCCCCAGGATCGCGACCTGAGCCAAAGGCAGATGTATAACCGACTGAGCCACCCAGGCGCCCCAAAACTTCATTTTTTATTTCTGAAATCCCAACAAACTCTGTAGTCTAGTTAATTATAATAAGCCTGGCTTTGGTAATATAGTAATTATGTAAGATGTCACCATTGTGTGTACAGCGGGGTAGGGGGAATCTGGGTATAAGGGGTATAAGGGAGCTCTTGGCCCTATTTCTGCAACTTCCTGTGGGTCTATATTTCAAAACCAAAGGTTAGACAACGAATGTTTGAAAGATCAGTCGGTCATGTGTGTGCCTGATGGTTTGAAAGGAGACAACATGGAGACAGGGTGAGAAGTTTTTTCCAAGCAGGTCTTTTTCTACCTAAACGTGGTCTTTTTCTACCAAAACTCTCACTCCCACTGTTCAGTCAAGGAGAAAAATGGGAATGTATTGGATCTGAGAGCCAAACACTGTGTGTTACTGGATGAGGATATTTGGTCTTGGAAGTTGGGAGTTAAGAGTGATTTTCTAGGGGTGCCTGGGTGGCACAGCCAGTTAAGCATCTGACTCTTGATTTTGGCTCAGGTCATGATCTCAGGGTCATGAGATCGAGCCCCATGTCTGGCTCTGCACTGGGCATGGAGCCTGCTTAAATTCTCTCTCTCCTTCACCCTCTGCCCCTCCCTGCCCCCCAGCTTGTGCAGTGCATGCACGTCTGTGCACTCTCTCTCTCTAAAAAAAAAAAAAAAGATTTTTTCGTCAACTGTCTAGAGATGAGTCAGGCTCTAACCTGGTGAACAGTAATCTGTCTGAAATGCAGATGTTACACCCCAAACTGGAGCTTGTTCTCTAGGAAAACACAATGGAAACACCTCTAAACACCTGCAGCCCGCAGAGAAGGGATTGGGCTTGGTATACTCTTCTGTGGCCATCTGATTGTACAACATGCCCACTGAGTGACAGTGACTCAGAACATCACCCAGACATCATCTGCTTGCCCAGCTGGCAAGCCACTTTCCCCTGCTTTCCTTCCTTGCATTTGAAGAGGGGCAGAATTTACCACCTCAAAATGTGTCACTCAGGCACGAGGATTATTGGGAACTAAAGGCAATCCATACCCAGCAGATTCAGGAACAGCACTTTACCTCTCCCTCCACTAACAACATTTCCGTTGGAAACAGGGCCTGTAGCCCAGAGAGGGCTATTACCTTTTTATCCAAGAAACTTACCAGCATACCAGGGCAAACGCTGTCTTAAGAACATCTCCTCTTGCCTTCCTGTGCTTGGACGTCCTCCCCATTGGTAGCCCCAAACTCCTACCCCTTTTTTTAGCTTAGGATGCACATAATTAAATTTGTTTTTCTCCTGCTGATCCATCTTAAGTCAATTTAATTATTAGACCAGCCAAAGAACTTAAAAGAAAGGAAGGGACAATTCTTCTGCCCCTCCACTTTTCAGAAAGCAGATGTTGGTTGGGGTGGGCAGGGGGGTAAAGAGGCAGGAGTTGGGGGGGGGAATCCTTCCAGATCATCTCTCGATGGGTAGCTAGCCCGTCCTCCCTCTGCTCCCCCTCCCAGCTGACCCGGGACGGCCTCGGAAGAGCCACTGGGACTAAATCCCACCAGCTGGCTTTAGTGGGGTTGCCCAGATGCAAACCAAAAGAGGAGTGGGGGAGGGTGAAGAGAAGGAACTGGAAGTTCTTTTCCCTGTTTTATCTTTCACTTGCCCTGCAGCCCATTGGGCTTCTCCCTTTAGAGTTTCTTCTTGGGGGATGGGGCTCGGGCTGTCCGCTGAGTTAGCTCCCTGTCTTGCCCAGCAGCTGGCCTCCTTAATGACCCAAACCGTGCAGCTATTAAGTGATAAATCCTCTGTGTATTCATGACCGGCTGGTTTCATTCCGAAGCCCAAACTGAAACAATCAAGATAATTGAGCTACCTCGGAGGCATTAAGGAGGAGAGAAACAGCGAAGGGATTGTTAATCTTGCAGAAAATGTAACATGGAGACGGTCATTTGTTTCCCGTTGTATCCTCTAAGACTCTCCACTGTGAAAGGATGGCTTGTGTTTGGCCTTTTTGGCCTTGGGGGTCTGAAGCGGGGTTTGGGGCTTCCTCGGGGCATGGTGAAGGGAAAGCAGACTGGAGGGTTTGGAGCACCTGAGAGCCAGCTCTGTACTTTGGGTTTTGCATATCCCCCTCAGACTGAGGATATTTGCATGATTGCCAGGGCCAGTATTTGCATTCACCTGGGCCATAGCTCAGCTCCAATCCTTTCCACTGTGTCCCTGTGGCTCCAGAGAGAGGACAGAATTGAGTTTGCCAAAGGTACTCAAAACCCTGACTGCCTTCCTTCATCACATCCCAAACTCCATTCCGGGTCACCTGGTGACTGATGAGGGGCCTTGACTGACCTGTATCCGTGATCCTGCAGAGTGGAACATTTATCCCAAAGCCAGACTCTACACCAGACCAAAATGAATCACTCTTCATTCTGAAACTGTGTACTGGGGTTGGGGGTGATGAAGAGGGGTTTTTGAAGCCGGGGAACTCCTTGAGCACCTCCTAGCAGTTGACTGTGTGATTTGCCCTGCTTTTAGCCTGTGCCCTTTTCCCATGAACACCCAGGGCTACTAAACCAGCCCTGTGGCAAACGGGGATGGGGGGGCGGTGTATGCGCCCCATTGGGGAAGAAGATGAGCAGGCATCAGAAAAGTCTCTTGTGGATCTTCATAAAGATGCTTCTCCAAAAATTCCCTAAGAGCCTGCTCGAGCATCCAGGACACATAAAAGGGACACTCGGCCCCGCTCTGAGCCCGCTGATGAATAGCTACGCCTTCAACAGGGAATGCATCAGGACATCATTTTGACGAAATGGACCCCAAAGCCAGCCTAGGAGGAAGGCCAATGCAAAAGTCTACTCTCGACTCTCAGCCTATGCCCAGCTGCACTGTCCAGCCAAGCTCCCAGGTGAGCTCGCAACCAACGTGGCGGGTGGTAGCGAGGGGATCAGGCCAGAGCAGCACAGTCGCGGCCACATCAGGTGAGGGTGGGTGACAGCAGCACAGTAAGCTCCCTCCTCTGTTCCCACAGGTTGCTGGTGAAAAATGGAATCCCTCCCTCCTTCCAGACGGCCGGTGGGCGGAGCTGTCTGTGTCTTGCTCAGCCCCAGTGCGAGGTGCCTGGAGCTGTCTTCCAGCAGCTGCGGGCCTGGGAGTCCCCGAAGCAGCCCCCACGTTGTTGTCGGCTGACTCCTCCCACAAGTCCAGGGAGGAGAAACCTCCTTGTCCTTGTGGCCCTCCTTCGTGAGTTTTGACTATTTGCTGATGACATGGCGATGTAGGCAGTTGGATGTTACAGAAAACAATTAGGAGGCTGGAAAGCATCGCCCGTGCAGGCTCCCACCATCCCGCGGTGACGACTCTTAAAGCAGGAGCGTGTTCTCAGCTGGCCTGTCTTGTTGCACACTGTCCTGCTGCGGTTGCCATCGCACACCTCAGAATGGTAGCTGCCATTTTCTTGTCTGCTTTTCCCTCTTAAGGAGCGTTTGGCCCCATGGCTTTAAGGCTCTGTTACCATCATTGCAAATGGAGGCATCGTCTTCTGCCTCCCACACTCACTGACATTCGTATAACTTTCAAAATTCATAATACCACAGTGCCAGACCCTTGCATGACATTTAGTACTGAAAGTTAAATCAATCCTAGGTGATTAGTGTCTGAGGGCTTATCATATGCCATGTACTAGTCTAAGTGCTTCGCATGTCTTAAATCATTTAATCATTCAATCTACAAAGCCCCTGCTATTATTATCCCAAGGGATAGACTGGGGCCCAGAAGGAAAGAGTGACTTGCTGAGAGGAACATGGGTAACCAGTGGCAAAGCCGGGCCTCGATCCCAGGCTTTGGGATCTGCCCTCTTAGCCTGCGCTCTTAGCAATGGTAAAATGGCCGGTCTTAGAACTAAATGCAATCATCAAGTCAGTTTACAATCTAATATGCAATATTCAATACTACCTTCTAGTTAAGAGAAGCAGATCCAATACACATTCTGTCACTGGCTTACCCTCTAAACTCTAACTCCGCTTATCAGCCATAGGAAACACCTCTCCCAGCAATGTTGAGAATGTTACAGGAAAGAAGATAGAGAAAAAACATTTCTGCTTCCCTGAAGTTATGCCAGTTCTCTAGCAACCTAAAACTTATTTCAGAGAGAAATCGCCCATCCAGAGAATAATTGCGATGCTACCATGCCATGGAAAAATTTACCAGCTGGGTAGTGAGCCTTGATATAGCATTTTAAACAGCTTTCTCCCAACAGATGTAGACGGTGGTCCTTCCAGGACCCAAAGTGCTCTTTAGGTCCCTTAGGTCCCTTTCTTTTTTCCTCTGCGTCTCAAAAACCTCCCCATTTGCTCATCCAGACTCCCTGAGTTTCAGCCTTCTCCCTCTCTGGTCCCCGCATTCCCATCACTGAAGTACTGATGTGGGTGTGGGCTTTGGTGGAGGTCAAAGCCTCCCTCTGCTCTTTTGAGCAGCGCTCCCCACAATAGCAACGGTCGGTCTGCCTAGCGAAATTCCTCACTGTGCATTCCCAGAAGTCGTGATCCCCCTGGCATCTCTCAGTGCTTCTCCAGTCCTGCCTGGGTTCCAGAGCTTGCTCTGCCTTGCTCACGGGAGGAGTGGACTTTATTTCCTCCTCACCAGTCTCCGGCTGAATCTGCTTTTTCTGCCCCACATTCACCCGCCTACTTGCAGCAGAAGACCGGCCCTGGAGATGAGTCTGAACCTCATCTGCTGCTCTGAACGAGGCCCAGGCTTGTACTGTCAGAGGCCAAGGACAAGCCAAGACACCCTTCTCCTTTCTCTTGCTGTCTGCACGTCTGCTCGTCCTTCTATTTCGCATGCTGTCCGCAGAGAGGGACTCCCTCTTCTCCCACGAGCCCTGCTCCAGATCCTCAGCTGAGTCTGGGGCCTCCCCCAGTGTACTCTGGTAAGGAGTCTTAGCTGACACTTTACGTGCCTCACCTTCCGGACCCTGGCTTGGATGACCCCCATCAACTCCCTTTTCAGCGAGTGATTCATCCCTTGCCAAAGCTGAATGTGCCTGAGCTAGGTTTGTGTACGATGCCCAAGCGTGTACTGTCAGAGGCCAAGGGCTAGCCATGATCTTCTTGTTCTTTTTATTTCTCCCTTTCCGGTTATTTTTCTGCCTTGGGTTTAACCCCTCGTCTGCTGCCAGAGGTGCCACAAGACAGGGCTGGACTGCACTTGCAGCTGGCCATATGGCATTAGCATGTTCCACCTGAGGCTCAGTGAGAGTCGATGTGTTCTCACTCCCCTCATCCTCCCCTTGCTCCCTGTCTCCACCTACCTCGCTGTCTCTGGGAACAGCAGATGCCAAAGCCCCCAGGACATGAGACCGGCGCAGAACCGGGGCTGCCGAAGATGCCCGAGTCTGGAGCGTCAGAGGCCAGGGGAGATACACAATCTTAGTTTGCTTTCTATTCCTCCCTTTCCGGCTGCCTTTCCTCCCTGCATTTCGCAAGGTGTTAGGACCCTGCACTGTAGCATCAACTGGACTCACCTCTGGGCGTTGGCCATCGGCCTCGGCACTCAGATTCGAAATAAGAACAGACATATTTTCCATCTCCTCATTCTCTCCTGGCCCCGGGCTTTCCTGCCCCACATTCACCCCACTACTTGCGCCCTCAAGTGGAGTTTGAACATCAGGTGGGGCTGTTGCCGGTCCTGCTGCTGTGCCCGGGTCCGTGTCGCTTGCCTGGGTCACCGGAGCCTCCACATGAGTTAAAGTGTCCTTTTCCATGTTTCTTCCCCCCTCCAAATTTTCCATGCTTTTGTTTTGGGATCAGGTAGTGTGTCTACCTGGAGCAGAGAGAACAGAAGTAATCCACAAGGCACATGTAAGATTAGTCAAAGCTAGCCAAAAGTCTTTTCTTGAAGGAGGGTATCGGGCATCAGGGCTGGGGGCTGAAACTGAGACCCCAAGGATACCTGAAACAATTTAGGGACAATGCAGGTCTAGGAGGCCGTGGACAAAGCAGGGATGTCAGACGCCTGTTCTCATTAGCGGCTGGCTCACTGATCTATGGCTCCTCGTATGGCGACTTGGGATGTCCTCAAAATACCGAAGGATGACCCAATTATAGGTCTTCAGCAGCCTTCTGGATCAGCACTGTCTTCTATGGAGCAGAGGACAACTCTGGCAAGACAACAACAATGACAACACCAACAACAACACAAAGAGATTTGGATAAATATCTCCATTTGCACCTAAGAGATATAGAGACATGGGTTAACGGCTCAGGTGTGGAATTCAGTATTGTTGTTACCTTTTAGTGCTTCGGACAGCCTCAGGAGACTGAACCGTAGGTGAAAAGGCTATAGTTGATCCTATAAAAGCAGAGAAAGAAAGCATCATCAAAGTCAGCCTGGCCAGGCTTCCCTGGGGCACTGGTCTGAGCAGACTCTTACCGGAATATCCTAGAAATGCTTTATTGAGGTTTCTCCACAAGGTCTGTCTTTTTGGTCCCACGGCGAGGAGCTGGTTCCTGTACCAGTGACCCAGAGAGTCTACCTAATTTGGGAACGCAGCCTCTATCAATCGATGAAGAGATTCTGTTCTGTTCAATACAGCATTAGCATTTAGACCTTCTTTCACCAATTTCTGATTCTTCCTCAGTTGAGAGTCTAGATCTGGGCTGAGGGCATCATTCCATTAGCCCGTCCAACCCATTCGGCAGGCATTCTAGAGAAGCAGAACTACAGAGAGAATTCCTACTTCTCCAAGTTGTAAACTCTCCAGTCCTGCCGCCGATTCTGGTCCCCTTCTCAGCTCTCTATTGTACTATATATATGTGCGACATAATCTTGGAATGGGCTAATTATTTACATAATATCCTTTCTCTCTGAGCAAACATTTTTTGTTGACTTTTTGATCAAAAAAGGGGAAAAAAAGAATAAATGAAGGAGGGCTCAAACTCCCTTTCTCTAGTTATGACTGACACAGAGAGCTCAATGAGGTCCTTGTGCTTTCCTTTGATAAGAAAGTATAACCACACAAAAGAGCAACGCAAGGACTGGCATTGACCTACTAGGGTTAGAAATGGAAAACTTGTTTTTTTTTTTTAATCTGGAACTTGTTTTTATCTAGAACAGGGGATGCTGCAGTGCCTATGTGAATGCAGTATGCCCAGGGGAGATGAGGGAGGGCCCTCTGGACCTTCTCTTGGGGGGCCACAAAGGGCCTAGAATTATTTTTGCATGGATGATGTTCTCACCCAATCCTACTTCGAGCACCCCCATGTTAAGACTGTAGAAAGAGGAATCGCAGAGCCAAAAATGACATACACTGATTAGCCAGCATGGTTTCTATTTTTCCAACATTTTTACTGATGCAGCGGTCAGCCTTCTCACTGCTTGATACATAGGTTAAAGGAGTTGCAATGCCAAGGCCAGCTCAGTGCATGACAAATTTAGAGGTTATCACTAGATGAGAGCCAGCTGGCTGGCTGCCAGGAGGCCACCATAGGTGAAATTTACCTTGTTCAAATGCTATAGAGTCGAAGGTCAGGCCCCGGCACTGTGAGGAGGTCTGTAGCCCAGTGGTGGGTGTACAGTAATCAAACACACAGAGCCAGGTCTCTGTCTATATCTCGACCGCCTCTAACCATATCCATATTCATGTTCCTAACTATGTTTCTATCTACATAAGATACCCTGTCCCCCCGGACTACATCGGGATGACGACTGCCTTTTTGAGATTCCTTAGATTTCCCTCTGATGTGTTGACCCTTTTGTTCATATAGATCCACTGACTTACTCAACATGCATTTAATGCCACTGCAATGTGCCAAGAGTATGAGTATAAGTATACTTAGGCTTCGGGTTATTTAATTACTGTCACATTTCATTTTGGTTTCTCTGAGGTGACCTACCTTCACTGGACTTCTGCATATTTCCAAACCTCAAGTCACCTCTTTGCAGACACTCTCTTGGTTGACTCTCACGGACAGCTAATGATGGTCCTTGTGTGCGGCTTCTACTCGCTTATCCAAAGCCAACCTAATTATTTATCCTTTCTCCAGCTTATTGAGCCCTTCACACTCTTTGCCCCCTCACTCCCCCCCCCTTACTGGTAAGAAACCTCTCTGGCTTCTGGATAGGAAGAGAGTAACTCCTGATTCCAGTCCCATACATCTGCATTGTACAAAAAAAAAGTGGTAACACTTTCATTCGAGCTTTCCAGATAAAGAGGAACAACTGTTTGAAGCCCTTTCATTTGTGGGTTACACGAGAGCCTGCATTTACATGTGTCATGGTATTGGAAATATCTCATATCCCTCCTTTGACAAGTGGGAACCTATCCCTCCTTTGATAGGAAGGGCCTACCAAGCAGATTCCGGTGAGGGGAAAGATTTCAAATTGTGTCCTGATAGGGTTGGGAGTCCTGGGAAACAGCTTGTTTCATTTAGGATTCTTTCATTGCAAGTGACCAAACATAAATACATAGAAGACCCAAGTTGGCTTAAACAAAACAGGCAATCTATAATTCACTGTAAGCTTAAATGGGAGAGGTAGAGACAATTCATGGCTTAATGCAGACTGCAGATTGTTTTACTGGAAGCCATCAGAGGTAATTCCTGGGGGTTGGTTTCCATTTTCCAACTCTTAGAAGAAACGCCCAGTACCTTCTGTCCCATCATACCTAATCCAACAAAGGCATTCCCTTCCCTGGTAGAGCAGCAGGGGTCCCTAAGTTGAGTCTTATTGGTACTAGCTGGCCTGGTATAGGTTATGTGTCCATTGCTGAAACAATTGCAAATGCAATGTCCAAATCCTGGGTCTCTTCGAATTCAATAGGAAGCTGGAAAATAAGAATGAAAAAGTGCAAATCAGAGATGGTGGAGTGGACAGGGAAGGTAGGAGTGAGGCATGGGGAAGTGAAAAAAAAAGCCTAAAGCAATTCCTGAGTAGGAATTTAGATGTTGTCTTAAAAAAGAAAAACACCTTTTTGATATATAACTCATATACCATAAAATCCACACTTTATTCTTTAAAAAGATTTATTTATTTGTTTTAGAGAGAGAGTATGTGAGCTGAGGGAGGTATAGAGGAAGAGGGAAAGAAATCCCCCAGCAGAAATCCTCAAATCTGCCCCTCTGAGTGCAGAGCCCAATGCAGGGCCCAATCCCAGGACCCCTGAGATCATGACCTGAGCCAAAATCAAGAGTCAGATGCTTAACCAAGTGAGCCACCCAGGTGCCCCAGTATTTCATTCCTTCTTATGGTCAATTAATATTCCATGATATGGATATATCACATTTTGCTTATCCATCCATCAGTTGACAAATATTCAGGTTATTTCAATGTTTGGCTGTTATAAATAATGCTGCTGTAAACATTCATGCACAGGCTTTTGGGTGGGCTTGTGTTTCCAATGCTGTTGGGTATATACCTAGGAGTAGAACTGCTGGGTTAGGTAGTAACTTCATGTTTAACCATTTGATTAACTGCCAGACTGTTTTCTATCAGGGCTGCATCATTTTATATTCCCACCAGCAATACACAAGGGTTCCAATTTCTCCATATCTTTACCCATAGTTGTTACTGTCTTTCTGATTGATGCCATCTTTGTGTGTGTGAAGTGGTAGTTCAGTGTGGTTTTGATTTGCATTTCCCTAATGACTAATGATGTTAAGCATCTTTTTATGTGTATATTGGCCATTTCCATAATCTTCTTAAGAGAAACGTTTACTCAAATCCTCTGCCAATTTTTAAATTGTGTTATTTATCTTTTCATTATTGAAATGTAAGAGTTCATTATGCATTCTGGATCTAAGTGATTTATGAGATATATGACTTGCAAATATTTTTCTCCCACACTGTGGATTATCTTTTCACTCTCTTAACATTGTCCTTTTTTAAAAGATTTTATTTAGTCATTTGAGAGAGAGAGAGTTCAAGAGCAGGGGGAAGGGCAGGGGAGAAGGACAAGAAGACTCCCTGCTGAGTGTGGAGTCCTGCGTGGGGCTGGATCCCAGGACCCTGAGACTGTGACCTGAGCCGAAATCAAGAGCCAGACACTCAACTGACTGAGCCACCCAGGCACCCCAAAATTGTCCTTTGTACTGATGAAGTCCTCTTTGTCTATTTTTCTTTTCTTTGTGTTTTGGCTGCCAGATCTAAGGAGATTGCCCAATCCAAGTTTAAGAAAGTTTTTCCCTGTTTTCTTCTCAGAATTTTATAATCGTAGCTCTTACATTTAGGTCTTTAATCCATTTTGAGTAAATGGTTGTATATGGTATGTTGTAGGGGACTCAACTTCATTTTTTTTGCATGTGGACATTCCATTGTCTCAGCACCATCCATTGAAAAGACTAGTCTTGGGGCGCCTGGGTGGTTCAATGGGTTAAAGCCTCTGCCTTCAGCTTGGGTCATGATCTCAGGGTCCTGGGATTGAGCCCTGCATCTAACGGTGCATTGGGGCTCTGCACTCATTAGGGAGTCTGCTTGTCCTTCCCCCTTTGCCCCTTCCCCCACTTGTGCTCACTCTCTCTTCTCTTTCTCTTTCAAATAAATAAATAAAATCTTAAGAAAACACTGATTCAAAAGTATCCACTTTGTTCTCAAAACAGAACAAAATTACTAACTTGAGACAATATAGCCCAATAGTTAAGAGTATGGACTTTGGAGTCAGTAACTCTTGGTTTGAATTCAGATTCTGCCTCTTACTAATTGTATAAATTACTTATATTTCTGATTCTCACTTTCTTCATCTGTAGTATAGGATAGTAGTAGTAACAATCTCATTTTTTGTAAATTTTGTTTTGATATTAATTCAAACCTACAAGTGTTTATATTTTATCCAATCTACTTCATTTATTTTATCATTCTGTGTATGTGTTGGGGTGGGTATTTTTGTCCCAAACCATTTGGGAGCAAGTTGGAGATACCATGCCCCTTAAATACTTCAGTGTGTATTTTCTAAGAACAAGGGCATTCTCTTATAAGCACAGTACATTTATCTAAACCAAGAAATTTCAAATTTTCAAATACTGTCATCTAATCTATAGTACATATTTAAATTTGTTATTTTTATGAATATTGTCCTTTGTAGTGATTTTTCCCAGTTCAGAACCCAAAATGAGATTATACATTGAATTCAGTTGTCATGCTTTGTTAATCTCCTCCAATCTGTAATAGTTCCTCAGTCTTTATTTGTGGCTTATGACATCAACATATCTGAAAAGTGCTGCTCAGTTATTTACAAAACATTTGTCTGTTCTTTTGTGATTAAATTGAGATTGCATACTGCAGGCAAAGATACTACTGAGATGATGCACTGAGAAGGATACATCTTCCTTTTGTAAGTTACTAGTCATTTACAGGGAGTTATCAATTGGATCAAATGAGATGATAAACATCAAACATGGGGCACAATGCCTGGCATGGTGCCAGTGTACAGAAAATGTTAGGCACCATATTTATTATTATTTCTATTCTGATTCTACTGTTATTATTTCTACAATTGTAATATTGTTATTGTTAATGAAAAATATTTTAAGACCTGGACCTGGCATTCTCCACCTTCAATGATCTGAAAGAAGTCAGGAATATAGAACATTATAAGTTAAAGAAATATTGGGTTCAATTGCCAGTAACATGTTGAACAAGACAACCTCTGTGACCCTCCAGCCTTGTGAGCTTAGATTCTTTATGTTTCCTGAAATATTGGCTGATTACAGGACTCTTGAGAAGGCTATTGATGCAATTTAATTAATTTTACACCCTCACTTCAGGTCATC